TCAAGGCAATTGTTCAGTGAATATTGCCCCATTTTATGGCCATTTTTGCCAGGGTGGTTAACTGAATCAGTTCATTTATTAAGTGAACCATGCATTCCTTAAGTAAACCTGACTTCTCCCGTTGACTTTGCTTGTCGGAAGCCAACTGGCAAGATTACAAATAGTGATCACAAGATCTTAGGACAGTACAACAGTCATAAATACATGTCAGTTGCCAAGCGCCCAAATTTTGATCATGTGACCCTGGGGATGCTGCAATGACTGTAAGTGTACAAAACTATCCGAAAAGTCATAATTTCAGTACTGTTATAACTCTGTTCACTAAATGAATAGTTTTAAGTTGAGGACTACCTGTATCTGTAATGATTAAAGTGCTTTGTATAATTGCAGAATATAAGTAAGGGAGGAATAACTTTTTAATGTATTCAGGGGAACAAAAAGGATAAAATTTGTCTTCTAATCTACCGGTCACTATTGGTTACTTCATTGGGTTATGTTATAGTGACTAATTATTTCATTGCTGTGCACTTTTAGCTCCTATGCAGCCCTGTCAGAAAACAGAGGGTTCTATGCTGCAGCAACCATGCTTTCTTCTCCCAGTACGGAGGAACTATCACAGGACCAGGGAGATCGGGCATCACTTGATGCAGCAGATAGTGGCCGAGGCAGTTGGACTTCTTGCTCAAGTGGTTCCCATGACAACATACAGACAATACAACATCAGCGAAGTTGGGAAACTCTGCCTTTTGGACATGTTCATTTCGATAATTCAGGCGATGTGACAGGACTGTGGGCCTCAGGCAGTCACATGGACCCATTGATGTTCTCCGATCAAGGCACAAAGTATGGCAGGCAGAGTCAAGGTAGGGAGGGCCTTGATCAAGCACAGTCCAGAGCAAGCTGGGCATCCTCCACAGGATACTGGGGAGAGGACTCTGAAGGTGATACAGGTACCATAAAACGGAGGGGTGGGAAAGATGTGTCAATTGAAGCTGAATCCAGTAGCATAACATCTATAACAACAGAGGATTCAAAGCCGGTTCCTATGCCAGCTCATATAGCTATGCCAACAAGTAATACAAAGGGTCTTATTGGTAAGTTTAATTTTGTTTTCCACAAAATATCCTACAAATTTATTATGAATTTATTTTATAGATATTTTTCTTTAGGCTTTTTAAAAATATAGCCAGAGGTTATAACCTTTGTCTCGTATTTTCTTTTTTTCCATGAAATCATTTGCACTGTGAAAAATAATGCTTTCTGTTGCAGATATTGCTTTTGTCATTGTCATCATAATCATCATGTTACTAAAGCCAAATTATAAAGTTCATTTGCACAAAACAATACACACTTATAAAGACTGTGTGTGTAAATATTAAGAGTTATGGAAAAGATGAATTTCCTAAGCACAGTTGCTGCTTCCCACGCGATCTACTCTAGCCTATAGCTTCTACCTAAGTCCACTTTCAGCATCATCCAAAGTTGTTGTAGTGACCCAATTAAATCAAATTAGTTGAGAACAGTAAGCATTCCTCTCATTCCGGTAGACAGTAGACTGATAATTTCACTTGACTGTGTGGACATATAATTAAACCAACTCAGCTTTTGGCTGACTGGGATATTTGGAATTTGGAAACCACGTTGATGTTCTCATAAAATGACTGGGGGGGGGGGAGATAGGGGGCTTTCTCTTTAACAAAATATCAAGTTAAGCACCACAATGTTTCCTTGTAAATTTTGTCCTTTTTCTGACAATTGAGCTGACTTGCAAATGGATCCGTTTATTGCCTAAGAAAGGTTATGGTCTTAGAAACATAAATGATGCTAGAATCCTTTGCAATGTGGCAGCTCCCCCCCCCCCGACACACACACACACGCGCACACACACACACACACATATAAACAAACAATTTTTTATGTTAAAAAAAATACAGTGAGTGGGGAGTCTGGAATGTGCCAAAGTAGAACATACAATGAGGTCCAATAATTACAATGCCTTCTTTGCTAACTTTGTCCGAATTTATTGATTTTTCATTTCTCCCTCCTCACAAAAGGACTTAAGTTGTCTTTTAGCTTATCCAGATACCAATTCAATTTGCATTCTATGACAGTTCAACTACTTATTACTTCTACTTTGTGCATCTTGAAGAAACAAAAAAACCACTTCAAATGTTTAGTGCATTGAAAAACAAACCAAAACAATGATTTTATTGGAAGAGTGCTTCAAATTATATACTTCATTTGTTTTAATATTAACTATTTTACTGCTTTTATTGAATTATGCTGAAAAAATTAGGCCAAACATGAATCTTGTTATAAGGAGGAAAATATATAAACATTTAAAAACATTTACTTTGCAAATTGGTTTAGTATTATTTGCCTTTTGCTAAACAATTAAACTAATGATATAATACACTTTATTACATAGAAGCCTTGTAGCTATATTTTTATAGTACTAAAGTCGTAAGACATCTTTCCAGATGTCACCATTTCTTTGGGAATTACCCTTATGAATGCTTTCTAAAATGCTTTTAAATCTCCACTTCTGGTCAACTGCTTTTCTGTCTTCTCTGTAGATTTCTTAAAATGTTTCTATTTGTGTTTTATAAATAAGACATATATACATTAAAATAATGTCTAAACTGTGTAGATAGATACACTTGCAAAATTAAGCCAAATTAAACACTTGTGTATGATATTTACTTCATAGAAAAGTTTTAAGCCCATGATCGGCTCCCCATGAGAATCAATAAAATTGAAAACATAAACTGCCTTTTGACTGGCTTATGTAATCAAGCTCATATAAACATCATAGCACATTTTGAAAATCATAAAAAGGTTAGGGCATTAGAGGAGATGGTTCAAATACACAAAAGACTGTGACAGTGGATTATTTTAAAGCTTCTTTGTTATGATGGATATGATGATTTGCAAGACATTGCACATAACCTAATACAGAGTCAATATCAGTATGTATTATGAATTACACAAATATTTTTAAATGATTTCTAATAGTGTATTATTTTACTGCAGCTCGAAAAGAGGGTCGCTATCGTGAACCACCACCAACCCCTCCGGGTTATGTAGGAATACCTATTGATTTTGCAGAAGGAATTTCTCATCCAGCCCGAAAACCTCCAGATTACAACGTAGCACTTCAGAGGTCTAGGATGGTGGCACGGTCTAATGAAGCTCCTGGGACTTCAGCTTCAGCTTCACAGCAGCAATCACAGGGTCATTCCTCTATCAGGCCTGTTAACAAACCTCAGTGGCATAAACCAAACGAGTCAGACCCACATCTTGCTCATTATCAATCTCAAGGGTTTTCCACAGAGGAGGATGGTAAACATCTTATCACATTTTGAAAATCATAAAAGGATAATATTGCAAAGGGCATTAGAAGGGATGGTACAAATCTACAAAAAAAATATGATTCAGGCTCTGACATTAAATTTTCTCAAATTGTTGCCTGAATATGTTTATGAAGGAAAAGATCATAGGACTATTAACTGTTTGGCAAATACGCTAGGATTCTTCCAAGCCTTTCTGAAAGGCTGAAAGCTCACACCACATGTTGATAATTGTTTAAATGTGGTGTATAGCTTTTTTGTTGAAAAAGAGCTTCTCTGAACAGATGTTGAAGACATTTTTCAATACACTGTTTTCTATACCAAGATATTTAAAGCAAAGTTGAAGAAATTGTGGCCCTCTTGGTTTTGCTCCACGATACTAGTTGGGTATGGTCAAATTCCAGTAAAATCCCTGACCCCTTTTATAAAGATATACATCAATTGTAATATATAATTCAGGATTATAATTAAATTGAACCAAATTTAAGAATACCAAATATATGCCAGTTTGGTGTAGCAGTTAAAGTCTCTGGGCTGGAAATCAAGAAGCTCTGAGTTCTAGTCCTGCCTTAGACATGAGGCCAGCAGGAAAAATTTGAGCCAGTCACTGTTTTAGCACTAGGAAGAAGGCAATGGCAAATCACTTCTGAAAACTATTGCTAAGAAAAACACATTTATTCACTAGAAGACAAGACTGACCAAAAGAGTATGTGACAAATATATAACTTTAAAAACTTCTGACGAGAATGTCAAATTGCCTCTCAAGTTAAATTAATGGATAGGTTAAAATTAACATGTAGTATCTTAGTGGAGAGGAAATAAAGAAAACATAGTCCCACAAAATTCAATGTTTAAGGAAGATAAGTATGAACACAGAATATATACACAAGAGGTATTAAGTTTTAAGTATATCTATCTTTATTTCCCTCCTGTCATGTTGTGTTTGCAGAAGATGAGCAAGTCTCTGCCGTCTAAGAATTGGAGCTTTCGGGATTACAAGTAAGCCAACTTTAAGGAGAGCACAAGATGACATCCCTAATATAGGAGCCTTGGAACATTAATTAAAGGATGGTGGACCTGTGCCTCCTTCCCTGCCTTAAAGCAGCATGGGCTTCTTCTCCCCTTCTTCCCTCTACCCTTCTCCCCTTGCATGTGAAATACTGTGAAGAAATTGCCCTGGCACTTTTCAAACTGTGTTGCTTGAAATGCGCAGTGCAGCATTCTCTCAGCTATCACTGTCGCTGTCTACCACATCACACAGTATCATTCCAAATTCCAAGATCAACTCATAACTCTTGGCTGCACTCTCCCATGCCTGGAAGCATTTTAAATTCTTTTTCCTATCTTAATCATGATCCTAGCACTTCACTTGATTGTGATGAAGAGATCAACTAGTGGACAAATGCATTTGGCCTTTATTAAGAAAGAAATGTATTGAAATCCTTCAAGTACACAGTGCTTGTTTCTTGTTTACAATGCCTTTGTTGCTACTCTATATATATATATATATTGTATTTGGAGAGGGATAAAAGGTTATACCTGCATTAACTACAGTATTATTTAGTATTATTTAAGAAAGTTTGCTAGCCTAGACTACTTTTTTTTTGTTTAAAGCGATGATGTGGTTAGCTAAAAATGGCACGGTTTATAGGAAGGATTCAGCCTTTCAAGCTTCGTTTTTAGTGTTCCACTCAAAGCACAGTTGATTAATTTCAGAATTGCTGGTTTTGTTGCTTTGCATCTCTAATGATGTGGTTCTATCTTGCAAATAATCTGTGAAGAAAGTTAGTGTCCTTTTCCTGTGCCTTAAGGAATACAGGATGGTGAAGAAAAATATTTGTCCTCAATTGTCAAATGGCAATATCATCTTTTGCTGAAAATAGTTACACGATTTTTTCCATCCTCCTCCTTTTACTAAGTAATGGGCTTTTGTCAGACAGAAATAATCAGGGTAAATGTATTAAGGAAATTCAGCACACACCGCAACCAGTGCCAACCCTTAATACTAATCTCAAATTGTGTTGCTATTGGCTTGGCATTAAAAAAATAGTGAACCTTTTGAAGAAAGTAGGTGTTGCTCAGCAAGCTTTTGCAGTGAACAATTATTCACGATTGTCTTTTACAGAACATTGCATATATAGAGGAGGCAAGTGGGTATCAATCGCCTGCTTACAGCTGCTATGAACCTTTTAGTGTTGGAAATGAAACTACACCCCCTTTCTATTTTCTGTTGTTCTTTTTGGTTTTGCACAGACTCCAGAAAAGTGAAGGCTGCCAATCTGAGTAGTACTCAAATGTGAGGAACTGCTGTTCTTGGATTTTTTTTTTCATTAAATTCAGCTGATCATATTGATCAGTAGATAAAAGTAAATAGTATCAACTTATAAAGATCAATTTACAGTGGTTTTTCACTGTATTGAACAATGTCAGTGCTTTATTTAATCTCTTTCTCCTATAATCATAGCTTTTCTCTATTTGCTTATATATCACATTGTCAATTATGCATTTGTAATTTTACATGTAATATGCATTTGCCAGTTTCATTATATAGGCTATGGACCTCATGTGCATATAGCAAAACAGAACAAACCTAGCTGTCTCACAAGTTGCACAAATGTTATATAGGAATTAAGTAATTGTAGACCATAGGACTGCTAATCTCAGTTCACTCTGTGATGTCAAGTGCAGAATGTATGACTTACTGGTGATTTCCTCATACTTTTGATACTACTTGTACCTGTATGTCTTTTAGAAAGACATTGGTGGAGTCTGTATCCCTTTTGTATTTTTAATACAATAATTGTACATATTGGTTATATATTTTTGTTGAAAATGGTAGAAATGTACTATGTTTATGCTTCTATCCAGTTTGTATGAAGCTGGAATATAAATAAATATAATGTTAATGATGTCTGATTTGTTTTGTGCTGATTTGCTTGGAAGAGGGCCGGTTATGTGCAATATTCATATATGTGGGAGAGAACCATACATATAATTTTAGTCGCATAAATTATTTGAGGAACTTTTAAGACATAAATCAAGATCCAGAAGTAGTAATATTATGGCAAAATCATGCACGCATTTTCATCCAAAATATACAGCAAGATATAAAATATGATAAATAATTTTAAGTTGGTTGATCACTTCCTGTTTCAACCAATGGATCAATGCTCTGTTCATCTGAAGAAGGAAGAGCAGATCCTGCACTTGCAGGAAGAATACTAGGAAGAAAATATATATATTTTAACCCAATTTATTTTATGAAATATTTTATGCACAAGCTAAATTGCAAACTATTATAGAAATTTATTTTATATTATGAGACTAGATTCTATGAAATAATTATGAAGAGTTAAGAATTTTAGAAGATTACCTTTAAACATACAACCTGTTTTATTGATAGCATAATCTACATCTTATTCCTGTCTCTGTTCCCTGAAATCAAGGTCTGGATTTATTAGGCTTGATGATCTGTGGGTAGTCCTGTACTGGATAAACGTAAACAGTGATGAAGTATATCCTTGTTTTATAACAAAGCAATTTGAAATAAATTTAGCTCTAGTAATAAATAGTCATGAAACTTTTTTTTAGTTTATTTTAATTTTTGAAACACATTTTAACATATTGAATATAACAAAAAACAAATCTCTCTGCAATATGCTATAAAAATCACTTTCTGGTAATATGCTACATTATTTTCTCTGTTGTGAAATGTTAGACGTGGATAATTTCATTTTGGTAAAGGTGACTGGATACACACAGCAATATTATATAAGAGATGGACAGAGATGAAAGTCGCAGAACAAATGATGCTGTAATTGTTGAATAATACGTTGAGTATGAGGTGATTACATTTCCGTTTTTTACAAATATGCTTGAAAGTGTTAAAACATTTCACACAGTATATCTGTGGAGATTCTCAGTCATCCAGGCCATGGTTGTTCAGGAGGCAGCTTTTTCAGGAGGCAGCTGGATTTTGTTTTTCCCACTAAGTCCTAAAAGTAAAATCCAAATGCCTTTTGGAAAATCACCTTTGGGTTTCACACAGTATTCAAGTATAAATCTCCAACATTAAACTTGGTTTCTTATTCAGATAATAGTGTAATTTTAAGTGAATAAATGCTGTTTCTATATGTACTGTACTTATCCAAGAGAACACCCAGAATTTATGATCATCTTTAAAAACAAGACAAATCAAGGGAAAAGACACTTCTTCAGAAACGGTCAAAATTTAAAGTTGGACACCAAAGACAAGTCCATCCTTTGTCAAGTCCAGTTGGCCAGGTAATGTTACAAGGCACCCATGCTTTCCTAGTTGCTGAACTGACCCTTCATGTGAACAGGACTAAGCTCTCTGGTCTTCCTGTTTAGAAAGTAATAATCTACAATGGGGCAAAGTGAGTACAGAGACACTGCAACAGTCAAAAGAGCAAGGATCAAGTCATAAATCCTTTTTTTTAGCAAAAACTATAACTTTGAACAATTGCTGAACAAGCAGTCAGCAAATGAGGACTATCTGTATAGGTAACATCCACCCATTTTTAAAAGTAAGAAAAGTGTGCTCCATGAATTGCTTGAGATCCAAATTCGTTTTTTCTCCCTTTTGAGCATTTTTATAACTGCAGTCTTGAGGGTATATCTCTCAACCTAATTCTAAAAATATTTTGACATTAATATTTTCTTGATATGTGAGAAAGTAAAGAGAAAGCCAAGTTTCAATATAAGAGTGATGTTTTTTAAAAAGTATAGATTTCTTTAGTCTATACTTTTCACAGCATTCACCTTTAGCCTTATCCAACACTGGCTTGCAATAACGATTATTTCTATAGAGAGCATGTTCATTTCAATTATTTGTACAACTTTTTTTGGCATCCCAGAATTTTATTTTCTCTGAGATAATGCAAAATATTACATTCTGAGACCTGCTTCTTTACTAAAAGATCAAGACAGCTGTATGTGTTTTGTGGAAAGTATTTTATAAGTAGTTTTAATAGGAAATGGCCAAAGCCACCCTGTAACAACTGTTCAGTTTCAAAATGATTTCAATATTTTGCAGATGGCTCAGATCCAATCCAGAACATCTTACATTACAGAAAGTTGGTACCTATCAATGAAAATCATAGGTAGTTCAGCCAAGTGTTCTAATTACTGTAAGGCAACTTTACGAGTTTCTGTTAAGTCTTTAAAAAAAGTTACCTTTCATCATTTTTGTCCCTCTGCTGTAGCATTCCATATATCTATATTTGACAATGCCGCAAATACCTTTCTAATACCAATGGATTCTTTTTCATTAGCTTCCCAAAATAAGAAATATTAGAAATATGGTGAAAAAAATTCATTAAAATAATCTTTAACTTTACTTTTTAAAATGTAGAAGACCAAACTTGTCAACAATTGATGCAAAACTCTAGAACTTCTCCCTGTATTAATTCTCTTTAATCTCCTTCTCCAGGTATTTCAAAATCAATCACTTTGCTTAAAGGAGAAAATTATCTATCTTGGCAAAGCTGTCCATGCTGTTCAAAGATGGGCAGTCCAAGGTGAAATTATTCAAAGAATTCTATATAGCACTGTAGAGTGTCTTCAATATAATAATCCGTTTCTTTTTGCCATCCTGACTTTTGCGCAAATTTGTCTTGTGTACCAATTTGTGTCCATTCCTAAACTGGGAGGCTTTGCTCATGGAAACTTATACCTCAGTCACTTCCTGTGTGGATTCCGGTTCACCGACAAAACCGCGAAGCCCTTATCCGCACTGACATAAGCGCGGAGGGCAAATCCACGCCGTACGAAGCACTAAGGAAAAAGGCGACCCTATCGAAATGACATAACCGCGGAGGGCAAATCCAAGCCTTCCGAAGCACTCAGCACCCTAAACCTAACCCTAACCTAACCCTAACCTAACCCTAAACCTAAACCTAACCCTAAACCTAACCCAAACCTAACCCTAAACCTAACCCTAAACCAAACCCCTAAACCTAATCCTAACCCTTACCTTAATTTAAATCGGCTTTCTGCCGCCACACTGTTTTAAAGCCCTTCTGTTGCCGCGCTGGTGTCACCACGGTGATGTCGTCGCGGTGATGATGTGGCGTCTTTAGAGACGGTTTTGCCGCCGCTATTTTGACGAGCGCGGTTTTGTCGGACCACGATTTTTTGTAACTAGATTTTAGAGAGT